TGGCCCCTTTCTCTGACTGGCAGGTGGTGGTGGAGGGCCCAAGGCAGAACCTGCCTGTGCAGTTTCAGATATGGAAGTTTGTGCTCCAGTCTAATCCCCCCCAGGGGCTTCTCTCCTTGGGGAGCAGGTGGGCACTAGGCGACTAGCTCCCCCATCCCCCACCCCGCATCAGCAGCTTTGCTTCCTGGCAGTGGCCAGGCTGGGCAGGTTCTGTGCTGGGAGCCAAGTCAGAGCAGCCCTTGGCTTTGGGGCAGGAGGGGGCAGCCCGGAGAGGCTCCTGCTGGAGAGGTAGGTGTTGCCCTTGGAGGAGAAGGGGGAGGCAGACTTGGCCAGGCCTGCTGGAGCCTCTGAGCAGCCCCTGAGCAGCCCCTGAGCTGGGAATGCTGAGGCATTAAGAGGGCCTGCGGAGGGACTTTGCTCTATCCCTGCTTTGGGTGTGCAAGTGACAACAGAGTCACCAAAGTGTCTTTCAACCACCCTGGTGCTGAAGCAGGAGGTCATTTGTCTGGAAATATTGCCGCATCCTGCTGGCCCCGCAAAGCCCTCGGAGGGGCTGGGAAAGGGGAGAGCAGCTGCCTTGGACCCCCCTCCCCTTTTGTGGGGTCCTTTTGTGTAGGAAACCCACAAGTGCTCTAAGGACACTAAATGGCTCCGGCCATTTGAACCTCAGAGCTGCATGGCGGCTACAAGTCGCCTCTCCGCCCATCGGCTGCAGCAGGAGGGCAGAAAGGCCGTTCCTGGTAGGACATGTCCCCCATCTTCTGGTCTCCATTCTCTCTGCAGGGCTTTCGTTTAGCTGCTGTGGTCGCCAGTCACTGAGCGGTAGGAAAGATTTGGGATTGCTCCGTATGGCTCCCTCCGCAGGTTGCTCTCCCTCTATCTTTTGCCCTGGGCTGCTGCCTCCAGCTCCAGCCCCGTGTTGTAAAAGAGACATTGGGAGGCTGGAGATCGCCTGAGGAAGGAAAACCAGGATCCTAAAGGCTTGGAAAGGAAACTGAGGGGTAGACATTGGAGCTTCTGGGAGAAAGAAGCTGCGGCAGCTCTCTTCAAGCACCTGGAAACCTGGTCCTCTAGAAGGGGAGAACATTTTTCAAATTTGCTCCAGGAGGGAAAATGTAGGATTTAATATATGGGCAAGAGGTCTCTGCTGGACATCAGGCAAATATTGGAAGGGGAAGAGGAGGAGGCGTTGGGGGGCAACTGGTAAAGAGCAACTGTGGGCCCTGGGTTCCTGCTCTCGGCCAGGATTGGGACAGTCGACCCATCCTGTACTTGTGGGTAATGATGCTGCAGTTGGGGGACCTTTTCAGGGGGTTTTGTGCTTTCAGTGGCACTGGGATCTTCTTCTGCCACCGCCAAAGGTCCATCAAGCGCTCGCGGTGCTTCTGCCCTCCCACTTATGGGGCTGGGAAGACACTGTCCCCAGGAAGCATCCCGTGACACCTGTGGCTTGGCTGCCTGGTTGCCTCTTGCTCCCCCTGGCTGGCCTCCAGAGCCCCCACACACACACTGGGTTGCCGCTTTGGCCCCTTTGGGGTCCCCCTCTCAGATTGGCCCTTGGATGTGGCCTTCGGGGCGGCGCTTCCAGGCTCTACGTCCCAGCCAGAGTGGTTCCGTGGGCAGCTTTGGAACTCTGAAGGAGACCGGATCTTGTGTGGCTTCTGCCTGGGAGGCAGCGGCCGAGCGGCTGGTTTGGGCTCCTGTGGCTTTCACTGCTGTTGGGAGCCACCCACCGTTGTGCTCCTGAGGACAGGTGCTCACATGCATTTTTGAAATGAATAATTTCACAATTATTACTGGGGGCTTGGCCAGAGAATTCAATCTGCCCCGGATGCCACCGGTAGAGGAAACTGCACCTCTCGAGGCCATCGCAGTGTGCCCTCGGCTGCCAGACTTCCTGATGCCCACGGAGCAGCCTGGCTGGGAGGGTTGAGTCGGGAACCCTCTCTCCAACCACCTGCTGGGGTTGCCTGCTTACGCCAGGGCAGGCCATTCTCAAGGCTGCCGAGAAGGAGCCATTTTCTGGCTGACTGCGGCAGCCCCAGCCTGGGAAGGCGGCCAAAGAGGACTGGAGGAAGGCAGAGGAAAGCTGTTTCCCTGGGATGAGGATGGGCCTTCTGGGTGGGGTGGGGGGCTCTTAGTTGCTCCAGGAGCCCCCGAGCTAAAGGGAAGAGGTTGAGGTGAACTTGGGGGAAGAGGGGAGGGGCCTGCAGGAGTCCTGATCTGCTCCTTCCTGCCAGGCTGTGGACCAGGGTCAGAGGGAGGGTCCTGGAGCGTGTTGGATGCTGGGGGAGGAGGGGAGGGGATGGGCCCAACTGCCCTGATCCTGACCTGCTGATTCTCTGTCTCCAGGCCGAGTGCTCCAGACCTGGGCTGAGCTGCCCCCTCCAGCCACCCTGGATGGGCACGGTTGGCAGAGCCCCATGGACTGTATCCGCGCCAACGAACTTTGTGCTGCTGAGCCCGGCTGCAGCTCGAGTTTTCGCACTTTGCGCCAATGCCTGGCTGGCCGAGACCACAACACCCTGCTGGGCAACAAGGAGTGCCGGCTGGCCCTGGAGGTGCTGCAGGGAAGTGCTCTGCACGGCTGCCGCTGCAGGCGTAGGATGAAGAAGGAGCTCTCCTGCTTGCAGATCTACTGGAGCCTCCACCAGGGCTTGGCTGGGGGTGAGCCCAGAGCTGGGGTCTCCTGGGGGCTGGCAGCAGGGGGGGGGAGGGGGAAAGACAACATGTGAGCTATGCAGACCCCCAAACCGGTGGGCCGGGGGCCTTTGCCCCAGTTCTGAGCTGGAGGATGCGCCCTGCAGTTGTGGAATGGCCATGGCCCGAAGACAAGGCCAGATCTGGGGCTGGTGCCACTGCTGAGCTGGGAGGAGGCCCATCCAAGCCTCTTAGCACTTCCCCTCCTGCCAGCCATGGCCTCTGGACCCTCCTGCCCAGGTGGCGCCTGGGGCTCCTTCCTACCTGCTGCTTGATGGAGTCAAGGCAGGTCAAGCTCCATTCCTGTCCCCCTCTTCCCCCCACACCTCACACCCAGGATCAGTTGGCTCGGCAAAGTCATTGCTGAGAAGATGGAGTGGCTGGTCCTGGATGCTCTTTGGCACTTGGGAAGCCCTGGCCCTGACTGGCAGAGGCTCCTCTTTTCGTTCTGATTTCACTAGAGTTGCATGAGAAAGACCCCCCCCCCCCAAAACCCCTCACTGCCCTGTTGGGACAGCAGCTGCTCCTGGAAGACTGGCTTCAAAGTGGGGGTGTGGGGCTGCCTTGGAAGCTGGATCTGGGCATGATGAAGGGGAAGGTCTGTCCCACAAGTCAGCCCACCTTGGAATGCAGAAGGGTGGGCCCCCAGGTTACTTCTCCCTTCTCATGTGCCCCCAGACAGCCTTCCTCTTCAAGCTCCCCCCCCCCAGCCTTCCTCATGGAGCCAGACCTCCCTCTGAGGGCCAGCAAAGTCCAAGCTTCCCCCTGCCCGCCCCACGCAGCCTACAAGACAGCGTCTCCTGTCTCTTTGCCCAGGTCTTTGGCCCCCCCTCCCTCTGCTGCTGTGGCCATGACAAGCCCAGCCACAGGGACTGCAGGATTCTTTTTCTTTTCTTTTGTTCACATATTGTTTGTCTTTGATATTGCACCCCCTTCCCTGTGATTGTAAGCCGCCCTGAGTCCCCTCAGGGAAAAGGGCGGCCTATAAATCTTAATAAAATGTCAAAATGTCAAAATGCAGGATGGAAACTCCCCACCCCTTTTGGGGTAGGAAAAACACCTGGCAGGAGCAGCCAGTAGCCCTGGGCAAAAAGTGTGCTGGCCTCACCCAGCTTGATTTTCTGCTACTCAGTCCCCAAGGGCAGCCGTAAGCTTTCCATTGACAAGGGTTGTTGGGGTCTGTACTCCCAAAGGTCTGAAGAGGGGGGAGCACCTAGGTGGGGGCTTCTTTCTGGTAGGGAAATGCGGGTTTTGAGGCTCCATCCAGGCAAGGCCCCACCCATGGCTCCTAAAGCTCCTGGGGCTACAGGCCCAGTCCCACAGCCCTGGCCTCAGTGGGCAGTGCAGCTGAAGGAACAGGGCACCCCAGGCTGCCTCAGCTCCCCACTTCAGAGGAGCCCATCCCTACCTGCCCACTGGCCTCCTGCCTTTACTCCAGGTGTTAATTTTTCCCTTCTCTGCCTCCAGGAGAAGAATTTTACGAAGTTTCGCCTTACGAGCCCATCCGCTCTCCTCTCTCGGATGCCTCTAGACTTGCTTCCATTGTCTCAGGTACTTCAGAAAAAGAATGGGAGCAGGTGCTTCCTCACCCACCGGTTTCTCCCCCCTCCAATTCACACTACCGCAGAACCCTAAAAAACTAGGTGCCCCCTGTGTCCTCTGAACGCTTCATTCAGTGATAGGAGACCTCATTCAAGGGGAAACTTGTGACACCCCCCCCCCCATTTGCTTCTGATTTTATTGCATCTGCTGATGGCTGTCCAGCAGTCCTGTCCAGTGGTGGGATTCAAATTTTTTTACTACCAGTTCTGTGGGTGTGGCTTGGTGGGCATGGCAGGGGAAGGATACTGAAAAATCCCCATTTCCTCCTGATCACCTGGGACTCAGGAGGCAGAGGTGGTATTTACCAGTTCTCCAAACTACTCAAAATTTTTGCTAATAGTTCTCCAGAACTGATCAGAACTAGCTGAATCCCACCTCTTGAGGTGATCTGGTCACTGTTAGATAGGGAAGATTAATCAGGCGATCCGGTGGATAAAGTTGCTTGGATTTATTCTTGACTGGACAGAGCAGCTGATGTACCTGGGTTACAACCAGGTGGAGGGATCTGGCATGAGTTTGAGTTTGTGACTGCTGAGGGAACCACCATGCTGTCAACATGGCTGCCTGGAGCCCATCTGGGTAGGGAAAGCAGCCAAGGAAGGGAGCTGCTTTGGTGGAGGGGGTCCCCACCCAGTTTGGAAGAGATAGTGGGGAGTCCCCTCCTCAAGGCCCATTTTCAATAACCGTTCAGCAGTTTCCAACCTTCCCACTTCAGGAAAGGTTGTTCAGAGGGCATTCAGTCTGCAGTTGATGAGGACCCGGGAGAAAATGGATTAACTGGATCCATTTGCGCCTCAGCTTGGGATTCAGTATTGAGACAGCTTTAGTTGGGCTTGACAAGGGCCTGTGGGGGAGCCTTCATTCTGGGCTTCTTAATCTCTTGGACACTTTCAGTGCAGGGGTGAAATCCAGAAGGTTCTGGAGAATCGGTAGCAGAAATTTTGAGTAGTTCGGAGAACTGGCAGATGCCCCCTCTGGCTGGCCCCGCCCCATCGATTCTCTGCCTCCCGAGTACCAGCTGATTGGAAGGAAATGGGGATTTTGCAGGAACTTTCCCCTGCCACACCCACCAAGCCACGCCCACAGAACCAGTAATAAAAAAAATGGAATCTCACCACTGTTTCATTGCCATCAAGCACATCATCCTTCTGAGCCAGCTCCATGGGTTGGGGGCACCATTTTATGGCCTATCCTTTCTCGTGGGGGTGGTGGAGGGCGGATTCCAGTTGGTGTTGATTTGATTGGGAGATTGTTCTGAGCGGAAATGGCACCCGAGGTGAAGGCTGGCTACAGCGTGGCTCCATCTGATCCCAAAGCAGAATAGATGGGGTGGGGAGGCTGGGTCTGGGTCTGCTCAGCCCTGGCATAACTGGGGCCCATTGCAGGGAGAGTTTTCAAATGGCTGTTTCTCGGGTGTAAAAGCTTTTATTTTGGAAAGGCTTTAAGTAGTTGAAAGTTTAATAGGCACTTTTCCATCTTTGGGGGCACTTTTATGGTTCATTGGCATGAGACTTTTTATTTATTTATGTAACCCTTGGTATAATTTGTTTTGTTTTTAATTTTTTAATTTATGAAATTTATATGCTCTCACCTAGAAGGCGACTCTGCACTTTATTGTATCGAATTGCTTCATTGTTTTAAAAGTACATTATACAAGTCTTAGTTCAACAGTGGGAGATAAATATTTTTAATTAGAAATAAATCGTACAATTATTCTCTGATTTTGAAGCACTGGATGGTGCTTCAGGTTGGAAGTGCTGCTGGTCACCCTGGGGGCATCGATGGGAGTCCCTGGGTGGCAATTCTATGGACAGGAGGACATCTGGCTTGAGGTTAGAAGACCGATTTGCAGAAGTCTGGTCCAAGAAATGCTAGGCTTAGATTCCAGTTGACAATAGATTTCTTTTTCCACTTTGAATTAAATCACCATCCTTAAGCTATTTAGCTGGTGGAAAATAGGACGGGTGCCACACTGAGCAGCCTTTAGCTCTTGGATTCTGGGCTTAACAGTAACATGTTTTCAGGAATGGGGGGCTGAGAATGTGGGGGTTTCCTCTGGGAGGAAACAATATTAAATGCTAACGGGGAGTGTCACTTTTCCAGCTTCATTGGGATGTAATAGATTAGCCAGGTTGGATGCAGAGGAGATGTGGAAAGCGAGTTATTTACATCTCAAAAACTCCCCCCCCCCACCTGCTCCAGCAGTTGTCCGAGTGCTAAGTCTGACTCCAGGGCAGGTTAGAGATGCTGCTTGGTTTTCTCCCAATATTTGAAAGAGAATCTAAGAGACCCTTTGCTGACTGCTGGAAAGCATGCATTGGTCTCAGCCCTGGAGAGGCAGATGGCAAAGAAAGGAGTGACCTCTTCTTTGTGTGGCATCAGGATGACTCATCCATCAAGGGGAAGCAGGAGATTCTAGGGCTGGATGGGAAGAGGGACATGGCACATCAGGGGGGGGGGTCTTTCTTGGAAGTTTTGGGGATGGCGGTTTCTTGCTCTTTTTTTTTTTTAGCTTCTTTACATTTGCTAATCTGATAGGTTTCCTTTTTCATGGGAACATACCTGGAATTTTCCTTTATGTTTTTTATTTTAATGCTAATTGGGTACAGATTAGATGATATTCATCCTGAGAAGTCGTGGGAGAGTCCTGGGATTCCGAAGAGGCTGGAATTGCACAAGATTACAACCGACTCTACCAAAGAATGCTAGACGTTTGTATGGTCCAAACATCAACAAAGACCACTGCAGAAAGATTCAGGAGAAGTTAATACTAGGATGATCCCAGGAGCCATTGAGGCCAAGAAGGTTTCAGTGCAGGGAATCCAAATTAGATCATCCTCAATGGGTTGTTGCCCAACTTCTGTATCAGGACACGCAGTGAAGGGAAGCCTACAATCTCTTGGAGACCATCAACTCTACCATTCCTCTGATCTTACTGTTGGGAAGTAGTTCGGCTGGGAGGTGCCTTCCTTCCTTCCTGTAGCTTATTCCATGCCCTATTCTCTGAAGAATAGGATTCTTGTTCAGGCCTTGGACTTCTATGTCTCCCCTTTTGGGGTATTTGAAGAACATTTCCAATTTCTTTGCTCTCTCCTCATAGGCCTTCAATTCTAGTCATCCTTCTTCCTTTTCTGAATTTGTTCCAGCTCATCTAAATCCCTTTGGAAGTGTTTTGCTTAGAAATGAATACAGTGCTCAGTGGGGTTTGAATAATGCAGAAAAAAGTGGAATGATTTCATAATTCCTATCATTTGGAAATTATATTTCTGTTGGTGGAGGGCATGATAGTATTTTTAGTAACATGATCTCACTGCTGACCCACAATTAATTTTGCTCTATATTCTTGTTCACAAATATTATGACCGAATCCATTGTGTATCTAATTTGTTTTTCCCAAAGTGAAAATTTTTGCATTTCTTTTAACCTGTTACATTTTATTTCTCTTGTTCTTCATTTTGTTATTCAGTCCTCTTCTCAACATCCAAATAATTTTGAACCTGGTTTTTGTCTTCTGAAATCCCAATGACAGGTCTTACAAGTTCTTCTGCAACCACTCCATCCAAGTTTTGAAGGCTGTCAGGTCCTGAGCTAAACCATTGAACTTTAATGAAGGGAAATATTTAAAAACAAAGAAACATTCAATGGGAAATGACCTTTATCGAACTGAAGTCTGTCTATTTGCCTTCATTCGCCATATTCTATTTTCATATTCTGTTTCGTGCAGCCCAGCACAGTCTCTGCTCCTTGAGTTAAGGTCTTCTCTTTCGGTGACTGGACCACTTTGGCTCTAGTCTTTGGATTCTTCTCGTGGCCCTTTGCAGTTCTCTGAATCCTGGAGGTGCCCAGAAGTCACTTCAGCATTTGAGACTGGATTGAATCAATATTGAACAGATCGGGGCTAGAGATAAAGGCAAAGGTTCCCCTCGCACATTTGTGCTAGTTGTTCCTGACTCTAAGGGGCAGTGCTCATCTCCGTTTCAAAGCTGAAGAACCAGAGCTGTCCAAAGAAGTCTCCGTGGTCATGTGCCCAGCATGACTCAACGGCGAAAGTGAATAGAACGCTGTTCCCTTCCCACCAAAGGTGGTCCCTATTTTTCTACTTGCATTTTTATGAGCTTTTGAACGTCTAGGTTGGCAGAAGCTGGAACAAGTAACGGGAGCTCACTCCATTACGTGGTGCTAGAAATTTGAACCACTGAACTGCTCTCTGATCGACAACCTCAGCATCTTAGCCACCACATCCCAGATTGGGGCTAATTATAGTCAATATTTGGAAACTAAACTAGTTTAAAATCATTGTGAAATGTCAGGTCCCAAGAACAAAACATGGATATAATTATAAGTAATTTTCTTTACTGTTCTTCACCTATCAGAATCTAGCTAAATTAAATTAATTATTTGCATAACTATGGACATTCACTGTGAAATGCTAGCGAGGAGCCCCATTTTTAATCCTCTTTCTGCCTGCCAGACGTTCCATGCTCCACTGCCGCTTTGCCCTCCAGTAAGCAGCCCTCCCTCCTGGGAATCCAGATTGCATTCCACCACACCAAATGTCTTTTCTTCCAGCTACATTTATTAACTGCTATTCAATATATCCTCAATATCTCTTTCTTTTTTAAAGACACTACTTTTGTTACTAGGTCAGGCAGGTGTAAATCCATCTGGTGGTGATGCTCTCCGTCTCACATTTTTCTATCTTGCCTAGAAGTAGGTTGTGGTATGTTTAGTCAAATGCCACCCTGAAGTCCAATCAGACCAATGTATGTCCACAGCATTTAGTCACTTTGTCAGAAAAGGCAATAGAGTTGTCTGACATTATCTGTTTTTAACGAACCCAAGTGGGCTTCTAGTGATAGCTTTGTTCATTTCTAGGTATTTGCAGATTTGCCACTTGATCATCTTTCCATCTTTTTCGGGGTTTTCTCAGGTACTGATGTCAGGTTTAAAAGATCTGTAGTTTCCTAAATCCAGTCCCCTCCCCTTGCTGTTTTTTGAAGATGGGATCTACATCAGATCTTTTCTGGTATCCCCCTGCCCCTCCGTGCTTCAAGAGCTTTGAAAGAGATCGGGTCTACTAACTCCTTCAGAACTCTACCATATAGCTATGGTATATAACCCAGGTGGTCCTAGCGATTGGCATTTGCCTAAAGTGGACAGGTGTTATCGTATTGTTGCTTATTTTGACTTGACTATTCTGAAATAGTCTGAAATGTCTGAAACGGTATAGGGTTTCCTGCCTAGACCGGGGGGGGGGTGGACTAGAAGATCTCCAAGGTCCCTTCCAACTCTGCTATTGTATTGTATTATTGTATTCTGTCTCCTACAATCCGCTTTTGGATCGGTTGGACTATTTTTCCTTTTGCGCGAAGGCAGATGCAAATAATGAGCTAAGCAGTTTGTTCTGACAGCTCACGGCATATATCTTAATAAATTGTGATATTTTTCATTTATGTTTTCTGGAATAATAATAAGTAATATAATTTCACAACTAATAATTATAACTAATAAGAATTTCTTACTGTTCAAATTTTATTTTTAGACATTTTTGAATATTTTGATGTATTTCTTTCCAAATCATTTGAGGGTTTTTTAAAAACAACCACAATGTATAAATAGCTTTCCTTCTTTGTTATGGCATTTCCAAAACTTATTGCTATATGATTTGGTAGTTATTGAGAGTTATATCCCATCTGTTAAACATTTAATATCAATCTTATACTACAACTGTAACTTGTAGTAAATTCTATTGTGATGATTTCCTTGAAATTCTGCATGCACTTTATTGTTACTCATTTTTTCATTTGTACTATTTCTGTGTCATATTTTAATGTGAGATCTAATTACCTATCTGTCTGTCTCGGTTCTGTATAAATGTTGCAAATTCTGTTCTCAAAGTTCCTCCTTTTTTCTTGAGATCACTTCTTATTCTTCTAGCAAGACATTCACTGTGTTAGCTGAGCAGTTCTTGCTGAATATTTAGTCTTTTTTAAAGTCTGGATGCACTGGCATACGTGATTAAACATTCTTATTATAGTTGTCCTTAGAGTAAAAGTCATTTGATGTCAAAGCTAATGCAGAAATTTCTGGACAGCCTTGTTTCTAAAAGATTCCACATTTTAATCCAGGTTTGTCTAATAATGTGTCCTTTCAAATTATTTTTTCTTTTGCTACTTTATACCAAAAATACCTATGATGTCCAGTGACTAAACTGACTCCTTTTATGATTTATATTCTGTTGTTTGGGGATTTTATCTATTCTCTTATCCAAGGCAAGCGGAATTATCAAGCAACTAGAGTTTAGAAAATGCAAGATTGATTTTTTTAAAAATCTCACAACATTTTAAAGCTTCCTCTCATTCCCCCCGCCCCATTCCACATGAATTAGTTGCCTGCTTTTGCCAATCCTGCAATGTTTGGTTTGAAATTGGAATTGGTGCCCTTTGACATGCAAAGTTCATCTCGGGCATGGGATTCATTTATACTCTTGCAGTCAAAGGTAAAAGTTTCCTCTGGCCAGTCGTGTCCGACTCTGGACACGCTTGTGGTTCTCATCTCTGTTTTTTGGCCAAGGGAGAAAGCGAATGTCCGAAGACATTCCCCACGGTCAAGTACCCAGCCTGGGTAAACCCCAAAGTGCACAGAACGCTGTCACCTTCCCAATGAAGTGGTACCTATTTATCTACTCAAATTTGCATGCTTTTGAACTGCTAGGTGGGCAGAAGCTGGTGTGAGGAACCGGAGCTCACCCTATTGCAAGGCACTTGGGTCTTGAACCAGGGCTGCTAGACAAGCTCACATATCAAGATATTTTTAATTTCCCCCCATAATTCGTTGTCATTGTTATGAAATGTATAGGAAGCGATAAAGTCCGGTCTCTGGGTGGCCTGATCCAGGCAGGATCACCTTCATTTAGGCAGAGTCAGCATCCTCCCTACCCCCCAAGCCCCCTGTTAGCTAGAGAAGGGCTGTCCGGGCTCCTGTCCCAGTTCATCCCCTCCGCCCTCCGTGACTCTCCTCCTTCCCCAGCAGGGACAGACTCCGCGGCCACCTCCAGGAGCAACCCCTGCCTGGATGCGGCCAAAGCCTGCAACCTGAACAACAACTGCAGGAAGCTGCGCTCGGCCTACATCTCCACCTGCAACAAAGAGGTGTCGGCCACTGAGCTCTGCAGCCGGCGGAAGTGCCGCAAAGCCCTGCGCCATTTCTTTGACCGGGTGCCCAGCACATACAGCTACCGGCTGCTCTTCTGCCCCTGCAAGAACCAGGCCTGTGCGGAGCGCCGCCGGCAAACCATCGTCCCCGACTGCTCCTACCAGGAGAGAGAGAAGCCCAATTGCCTGGCTCTACGGAGCCAGTGCCTAGCGGACACGTTCTGTCGGTAAGGCCTGCTGGCTTCTGGGAAGGGGGGGGGATGCAGGCGGGGCTCTCTTGTAGGGGGCTATGGCAGGTTGAGGCATTTGCTGTGAGGGACCCTCCCCTTACGCCCCCTCCCTGAACATGAGAAACTGACCTCTCAGCCCACCCAGGTAGAGGATGCTCTGGTTGAGGGTTGTCTCTTGGCTTTGAAAGGGCCACAACAGGCCCCCTAGTTGGTTGTCCAGGAGGGATTTATTTGGCCGCCTGCTAGGAATAGGGTGGGGTGGGGCGCGACTGCTCTGATCTGTTTATGGTGATTTATTAATTACTTATTAATTATTCAGGATCTCTGCAGCTTTCCTGTTAAAAAATGAAAGCCTAATGCCAACTCCTCATCCTTCATTCAGCATGGCTGTGAAATAAACAAATGTAATTTTAGGTTGCATTTTAAAAGTTTAGTTTCCAAATGGCCTTAAATTAGCACTTTTATACTGCTCCGATCACGCCACAAACCCCCTGCCCTTTCTGGGTATCTTCCTGAAGGGAGATTGGGCCAGTGGCCCCCTAGCTTGGCACCCAGAGCGACTGAAGATTGTAGGAAGTTTTGGAAGGTCTCCAGCTGCCCCCTAAAGGTGGCTATTCTGGCAGCTGCCTCTGAGGCAGGAGCTTGAACCCCCATCAAGACTGGGGTTGCCTCAGCCCAGTCCTCCCCAGAGCGGCCTTGTCTTCCTTTAGACATGGCTGGCTTGATGACTAACTTTGCCTTGTGTCAAAATGTTCCTTGTGTCAGCCTGAATCTGCCCACTTTCCTTACCACCTGTGATCCCACTGCTTCACTCTAAGCTAGAAAATCCTGTATGTGTCACAGGAAGTGGCTCAATTGCCCCACAGGTTGCGTTGCTTCCTTGCGTTTGTCAAATTCCCCTTCTCAGCATTATACTCAGAGCCCGATAGAGGGATGAATCCTGCCTGGGAAATGGGTTGGTCCCAGTGGTGTATGAACCCTTAAACAGACTAAGCCCGTGCTGAGGGCACCAGGCCCAAAGGGGGCACCACAAAGTTGAGAAAGAAAAAAAACCCAATGAAGGTTTGTACAGGATGTACAAAGGAAGGGGGCACCAAGATTTGTCAGTGCTCAGGGCACCAGGGAGCCTTCATCCACCACTGGTTGGTACAGAATTACCTCCCTAAGACCTATTAGATCCCACAGATTAGGCCTCCTCCGAATTCCATCTGCCGGCCAGTGTCGGCTGGCAACTCCCCGGGGGAGGGCCTTCTCTGTGGTTGCTCCGGCCCTCTGGAACGATCTCCCTGTTGAGATCCGGACCCTCACCACCCTTCCGGCTTTCCGCAAAGCCATTAAGACCTGGCTGTTCCGGCAGGCCTGGGGCTGCTGAATCTCTCAGCCCCACTCGAGGGTATGACTGTTGTTGTTTTTTAAATGTGTTTGTCTTTTTATTTTTTA